CTGCTATAGAAGTTTCACGGCTTTCTAAAAAATCAATATACAGTCTGTGTCAATCGCCTGCTCCCTTTTACTCGCGCAAACGGCACGCCAGAGCCTGCACTCCTCTAGCGCACGTACCACACTTGATCCTCTTGATCCGCTTGATCCTCTTGGTGCAAAACCGCGCTCATTAAGTTGTTATTTGGCGTCGCGTGCTGCAATTCGCGTAGAACAATTTTTCTTACCTACGCCGCGCCAAATGAGAAGTTAGTGTGCGCGGGTTTTGCACGAAGGATTAATAGGATCAAGAGAACTGACTATGGATGTGCCTATAACTTGCGAATTCATTGACCTCATCAGTTTGGTCAGCACGCAAGGCCCTTGCATTGGGGGTGCGTTGCGTAGTTCGTATGCGAAAGGGAGCTGAGACAAACTGTCGCCACCACATTACCAAAATAAATTCGAATAAATAAAAATTAAATTCAATAGATCGTACCCCGCCCCAATGTGTAGCCGAGTAATCGCAATGCCTGCACTTCTTCATCTTCTTTCCCCAGTGAATTCTTACATGAGTGACCAAGCGATTCTTGCCATATCCTGGACGCCATATGATTTTAGTAGTACACGCCTGATGTGATACATAATGCAACCAATCTTCAACGAACTCAGTATAAGAGTAACATACCGGATAGTGGCACTCAAAACTTCTAACGAAAGGTGATGGCTGATGGTTCTTCCACCTGCCTTTCCTTGCAGGAGTGTTCACCTAGAAAGTTTCTTTTATTTTCAGTATTTCAGTATGACGAACGCTTACCTTCATTGACATCTCCTCTTTGTTTCCAGCGTCATGCACAGCCAAATTAGCATTATATAGATAGTCACGAGATTCTGACGGCCTCGAAACCGTATTGGAAGCAGTGTCGTCTTCAATGGTGTCAGGGGTTGTAATTTTCAGCGGTGCAATAGGACTCAGTTCCGTGATAACGTAAGAGGTGTCATCGCTCATTATATCATCTGCTTTGTGTCCTGCTATAGCGCTTTCAAGTCCTGACCTTTCTTCATTTACATCATGATTCCGGGTAACCGTAGAGCCTTCCAATGGTGAGATGTGGTAAAAGTTTGGATTATTCTCATGCTCTTCGGCATAATCGATTGGTACACTTTTTCCCGCTGATGATGCTACTGCAGCTTCGATATGGGAGTCCCCTCCTGACATCACATTGCAATCTTCGTAAAGTGATTCTTCTTCTGAGAACACTCCAGCTCGCTCAGGTGGAGCATGTTTATAGACCTGGAAAGCAATTATTTATCAAGCTATTTCATCTACCGTGCGTGCCCAGAAAAGTTCCCATGTGAACCAGCGTGTGTAGACAGTGCAACGCTGCCTTTCGCTCTTTCTGGCACGTTTCTCTTGAGATTTCAACGGAACTGCCCGAAGCTA